GGGCCTTGCTCTGATAAGCTCAGGGTGTTAGATTAGAGTCCTGCTCTGCCTGATGCTGTGGAGGCCAGATGGAGGAAGGGGGTCTCATCCCAACTTACCCGTGTGCATGGTGCAGGCTGGCTGCAGCCCTGCCCACCCTGGGGGAGTAAAGATAACCCGAGCCCAGAGCTGGCAGTGCTCAAAGGGGCCAGTGTGGTCTTTGTGTCCTTAATAGAGAAGGCAGCCAACAGGTAGCAACCTCCAGGGCAGCCCCCAAGCCCTCCATGAATGGATCGGCAAACTGAGGCTCCAAGTGAGGTGGGGCCTGCCCAGGGGCCCCCAGCCACCTCGAGGGCTGGAGGCGGAAGGTCACAGGGAGCTGGTCTGGGTGCTGGTCTGTGGAAGCCTCCACCTGGGAGACTGGCCTGCTGTGTGTCTTTCCATGGAGCAAGGCCGCCCTCCGGAGGCTGCAAGGAGCACGTCATCCCCGGCGGCCCACCTGCCGGCCCGGGGACCTGGGGGCCAGGGAGAACCAGACAACAGAGGGCGGGAGACGCTGGAAGGTCGGGGGCACCGCCTGCCCAGGGGACATGGGACACACTCCGGGGGGATCCACCACCCACAGAACAGTAGAAGAATAAACCCCTGCTTTTTTCTTTTTCTTTTTTTTTTTTTTGAGACAGAGTCTCTTTCTGTCACCCAGGCTAGAGTGCAGTGGCGCGATCTCAGCTCACTGCAAGCTCCACCTCCCAGGGTCACACCATTCTCCTGCCTCAGCCTCCCGAGTAGCTGGGACTACAGGCACCCACCACCACGCCGGGCTAATTTTTTATATTTTTAGTAGAGACAGGGTTTCACCGTGTCAGCCAGGATAGTCTTGATCTCCTGACCTTGTGATCCGCCCGCCTCGGCCTTCCAAAGTGCTGGGATTACAGGCATGAGTCACTGTGCCCGGCCCTTGAACCCCTACTTCTTGAAGTTGGGGCTGTTTCTAGGGACAGCTTCCCCAGGACGCCTTTGGCTCTCCAGCTGGGAGATCCAGCAGCCTCTGGGACACGGCGGGGCAAAGCTGTGCACGGGGCACGGGGCAGGGACACGAGCTCCCTTCTCCCCACCCTCTGTGGCCCGGCCTGCCAGGCAGAGCCAGAGCCTGCGCTGAGGAGCGCGTGTGCCTCTTCCAGGTGTAAGTACTGCGACCGCTCCTTCAGCATCTCTTCGAACCTCCAGCGGCACGTCCGGAACATCCACAACAAGGAGAAGCCCTTCAAATGCCACCTGTGCAACCGCTGCTTCGGGCAGCAGACCAACCTGGACCGGCACCTCAAGAAGCACGAGCACGAGAACGCACCAGGTGGGCCACCCACACGGTCAGGCCCCACAGAGGGGGAGGGGAAGAGGAGGGGAGAGGGCACCGGGCAGGGAAGAGGGCCACAGACGATACCTCAGGAAGCCAACAGGCACCCCTCAAACCGTAGTCATTCAAGAGAACCCAGAGCTCTCCAGTGTCCCTAAGAAACCTGCCTCCCTAAGAGCACCCCAAGTGTGCACTGTTCGCGGCTGGTTTGCCCCATGGAGGGAGGGGATCACCGAGAGGCCACCGCCTGATGCTCTCTCCCCTCCGCAGTGAGCCAGCATCCCGGGGTCCTCACGAACCACCTGGGGACCAGCGCCTCCTCTCCCACCTCAGAGTCGGACAACCACGCACTTTTAGACGAGAAAGAAGACTCTTATTTCTCAGAAATCAGAAACTTTATTGCCAATAGTGAGATGAACCAAGCATCAACGCGAACAGAGAAACGGTAAGAAAACTATCTCGGGCTGGGCAAGGTCTGGACCCGGCCAACAGCCCTGCATGGCCACCCTCAGAGGACCCCAGCACCAGCCCCTGGCACATCCAGAAAGGCACAGTGGGGGCCTCACCCTCTGTGGGCTCTGGGAACCTGGGGAAGCTGTGCTGTCTGCCTCAGTTCCTCCACCTGGAGAGTCATGAGAGTAAGCACCCCTGGGGTTACTGACCTCACTATTAACAGATATGTGCACAAAACACTAGCCAGGTGACCAAGCCGGCCACAAGTTCAGCTGTGCCTCTGAAACTCGAGGACATTTTGATTTAATCTGAGGCACTAAAAGTTTCCAAACCAAAATGCTTCACCTTGAAATACACACATGCACACACATACACATGTGTACACATGTAATACACATGCATGCTCACACATGCACACACGTATATGCCCCGTGTACATGTACACATTCACAGGCACATATGCACACAGAGATGCACGTGTGTATACATGTGTATACATATGCAGGTGCCCAAATACAGACATGCACGTACACACACACATGTGCATAACATGTGCATGCATAAACATATCTGCATAGATCTGCACACATGCATGTGCACACATGCAAGTACATGCACATGGACAGTGTGTGCACATACACGTGTGACGCACAGTTGTGTGCATACACATAGAGACACATGTACATGCATGTGCGCATGTGCATATAAACACACAGAGCAGCAGAACAAGGGGGGAATTCAGATCCAAGAATATTGGCACGTGCTCTGTGCAACCTGGGATATCAGGGCTCCATGTGCCCCACTTACTCTGGGGGAGCCTTCAGACACCCTAGCAGAGCTGCTTCCTGTGTAAAAGCTAAAGCCAGGCCAGCTGGCAGAGAACCGAAGATGTTCCAAACTCTTAAGAGCCTGAGGGGGTGATCCCTGATTCTACAGAAGGGAAAACAAGGCCCACAGAAGTGAGGTGCCTTGCTCACGCCTAGAACCTGGAGCCAGAGCCCACGCTCTTATCGCACTGGCCATGGGTGGTCTAAGGCTGTGTACCCGCAGGGCCCAGCTCACTCCCTACCACCTCCAGCAGGTGAGGAAGAATCCCCCTGAAACCCGGGCTCCCTAAGAGCCCATCCGCTCCTCCAGGGCAGGGCTGCGTCTTCCTGTCATTGCTTCTAGGAGAGTGGGGGTACCTGGAAAGAGGCGTCCAAGCAATAAACACAGGGAGGCAGCTGGACACTGGCTCTGGCAAAGCCACGTTCCAAATCTGTGCCCCTCCTAGGAAGGTGGGCTCGCCTGTAGGGCCCTCAGCATCTTCTTCCATCAGAGCCCAGGGCAGGCTCAGAGGAGGGGTCGGGGGAGAAGCTGGCCATGGGCCATGGTCCCAAAAGCCTCACCTCCACCCTGCTGCAACCCCACCTGCTCTGCAGCCCCATGGTTGTCCCTGCATTCCCCGCTGGGCTCCAGGAACAACGGCCTGAAGGGAACTCAGCTCTGGCCATGCTGAGACAGCCGCACGGGAGCTATTCGTGTTCCCTGCAGCTGCGTGTCAGACCCATAAGTGCCAAGGGCCAGGCCTTACCTACGCCCCACAGCCCTGTCCCCAGGCATGATCCCCTAAACTGCAGCTCCCAGAGCAAGACCAGGCGAGGAACAGGCGAGGATTCTTCGATGGCATCCTTGCCAGGGTGAGCCCAGGAGCAGGAGTGTGTGCAGAGGCTGAACCACCTGGAGGACAGCAAGGCCCCCATGCCCCAAGCTAGGGCGGCAGCCCGGCCATACTGCAGAAGACCCACCAGGACAGAGGGCTGTCTCCAGGAGAAAGAGGTGTGGCTGGGCCTCCCCATCGCTTTTGCCAAGGCCCACCATGCCCTGCTCCTCACAGCCCTGGGGATGGGGACAAGGGAGGCTCTCAACACCTCAACATATGGGCACAGCTGGCCACAGACCCAGGTCTTCGGAAGGCCCGTCCTGCAGAGGCAAGGTCCCCAGGTCCAACTGGCCTTGTCCCGAGAGCCCCCACGTCACTGTCGAAAATGAGAATAGGGCAAGATGGACATAGGCAGCCAGTCCCTGGGGTGGCGGGGTGTTCCCTGGGCCTCCTGCGGAACCAGCTCCTGCCCTCTGCCGTCAGAAAGGATCCATGCCTGTCAGGCGTCCTGGTCCTGCAGCCCAGCGAACCCCTGAGTTGAATTATGTCCCTCAACATCCCCAGGTGGAAGTCCCAGCCCCCAGCATTTCAGAATGGGACTCTCTTCAGAGATAAGGTCTTTAAGGAGGTATTAAGCAGAGGCCACACTGGAGTAGAGTGGGCCCCAATCCAGCGGCACTGACAGCCTTGAAAAAAGGGAGAACTTGGAGAAAAACACGTGGAGGAGAAGGCCAAGGGAAAACGGAGACGGAGGTCGGGGTGATGTTCCTCCCAGCCAAGAGTCACCTAAGAGGGCCGAGAGTCGCCAAGGATGGCCAAGGAGGGCCAAGGGTCGCCAAGGATGGCCAAGGGTTGCCAAGGATGGCCAAGGAGGGCCAAGGGTCACCTAGGAGAGGCAAAGAAGACCAACGGTTGCCAAGGATGGCCAAGGAGGGCCAAGGGTCGCCAAGGATGGCCAAGGGTCACCAAGGATGACCAAGGAGGGCCAAGGGTCGCCAAGGAGGACCAAGGGTCGCCAAGGATGGCCAAGGAGGGCCAAGGGTCACCTGGGAGAGCCAAAGAAGGCCAAGAGTTGCCAAGGATGGCCAAGGAGGGCCAGCAGCAGCAGGAGCTGGAGAGAGGCCAGGGACAGATTCTCCCCCAGAGTCTTGGAAGGAACCCAGCCTGCCCTCGCCTGGATCTTGGACTTCTGGCCTTCGAGCTATAAAGGCATCCACGGCTGCTGCTTCAGGCCCCCATACTGTGGGGTTTGGTTTGGGCAGCTCTGGGAAACTGATTGTCCTCCCTGTTGGAGCCGAACCAGCCACCAGGCCCTGTTCTGTATCCGAGCCGGACACTCCGCTCCCCAACACTGGAAAGCAAATACTCTGTGCACAGGGGGTGTGCAGCAGACATAAAGAGGGCAAAGCCCCTGTCCCCAGCTGGTGGGGATTCCATGCAAACCCACGTGGGGCCACCAGATGGATCTCACGGCACATGCCCATGTGATGAGCCTGGGCTCTCATCCTGCGCCATCTCATCCCGTCCTCAGAGTGGACAGGGAGGGGCATGTCCTCGGGTCATCGAGAGGGCACAGGCCCCAAAGACAACCCCACCCAAGGGCACCTCACCAACAACCAGGGTGAGAACCAGGACCCAGATCCCAGCAGCTCCATGGCTGAGGAGATGGGTGTGTGTACAAGACGCTCCCAGCACCCAACATAGGCAACCAGGACCGAGGAACTGTCCTCAAGCCCTGAAGCCTGCTGAGGTTCTGTCCATCCTGGAAGGCAGAAAGACAAGAGACAGAGACGTGGCATCTGTGGAGAGCCAGGAGATTACGGCCTCCCCAAGCCCAGTTCCTGTGCACACAGGCGAGTCTGAGACATGGAGGTCAGTCACTGGGAGACGCTGTCGCTTTCTTGCTTGGATGCCAAGAGCAGGACTCCTGCATCTCCCCCACACTGTGGGTACCTCCCAGGGCAGCGGGGGGCAGTGCCCCCAGGCAGAGTGAGGACAAGGAAGAGTGGCCCTGGGGCTCTGGGTGTGGGCAGTCTAGGAACTGCGTGCCTGCCCTTTGCTTGGGCCCGTCTACCAGCATGTCCAGCACCTGCCCGGGGGCCCTCGGCTCCCCTGGGGCCCAGCCCACCCAAGACACAGCTCTTGGCCATGAACATGAAGATGAGCCAAACTCTATTGGCTCTTCCTGAAAGAAATGAGAACGCTCAGCCACGCCCATGCACACTTTGTTCTTTTTTTTAATACTGAGGAACCGGAGTGGAGGGGTCCTGCCAGGCTGCAGTGACCCTGGGGGACATCAGGAGAGCCCTGGGCTGCAGGAGAGTCCCCTCAGGCTCTGAAGCAAGCTTGTCCTGGTGCTTTCAGACTGCTGACAACAGGCTTTGGGCCCTCACTCTCCAGATCCCAGAGAGCCCTCCGGGGCTCCTGGCTCTCCGGCCAGTGTTCACATCCTCAAGTTGTCAGTCTGAAATCCTTCCCCCCAAAGTCTGCCCTGAGGGTGCCTCTCGTGCAGTGCCCAGTCCCCGCACCAGTGCAGGACCAGCTTCCCCACAGGACTGCCCACCTCTTCCTTCCCAACACTGCCTGGCCCTGGTGTCCTCACGGCCACAACAGCCCCCTGCTGCTGGGCCTTGCCCCACCCCCACCACCCTGAGCACTCGTCCTCCTCTCCTGGGATCGCCCCAAGGCCTCCGTGCCTCTCTGCAGAGTCAGTGGCTGGGCTCGGGGACCGGTAGGAGCTCCCTCAGGAAGGGGGCTGAGGGTCGTTGGGGGAGGCAGTGGGGGCAGAGCCGAGTCACCAGCCTTTGGGGGTCCATGGCAAGGAGAGAGACGCCTGAACTTGGCCAATCTCCTCCCGTGTCATTTCAGGCCGGAGATGCAGGATGTGGACGGCAGCTCCCAGTGTCCAGGCCTAGCCAGCGAGAAGCAGGAGGACGTGGAGGAGGAGGATGACGATGACCTGGAGGAGGACGATGAGGACAGCCTGGCCGGGAAGTCGCAGGACGACACGGTGTCCCCCGCACCCGAACCCCAGGCCACCTATGAGGACGAGGAGGACGAGGAACCACCCGCCTCCCTGGCCGTGGGCTTCGACCACACCCGAAGGTGGGGGCAGCCGTGCGCTCCTGGACGGGGCAAGGGGGGAACGTGGGCGTCCATCAGGAGGGGGACCTCCCTCTTCAACCACTCGTGAGCCTATCCCAGGCTCAGCCCCTACTCCAGCACAGCCACCTCGGGGCTCCTGCACACAGGCCAGGGCAAGGCTGAGCCACGGGCAACAGGGTCAGGGGCTCTCAGCCCCCCACCCACCCCCAGGGGCCCTGCAGGCTGGAAGCAGAGTGTGGAGGGGAAGGCTTTTCCCTGCACTGAGCAGACATGGAGACCCCCGGCCCTGCAGCAGAGCTGCCCGTCAGCCTGGGACAGCGTGTGCAGCCCCTAGAGGGCCGTGGGCACAGGGGCCAAGCACCCACTATTCTGTGCTGGCCAGAGCCACTTCCCCATGTCCTCCGTGTTCGCCGCCAGTATCAGGCTTGGGCGACACTGCCAGCATTCCCAGATCCCCCGGGAGGCCCTTCAGAGGCGGCGCTTCCTCCCCAGCCTGGATGCTGCCCCTGAGTCCCGGGAGAGGGAGCCCCGGGCCTCTTGGAGCTGCCTGGGGTCTTAGAGCATTGAAGCCTCCTTCTCCACCCTCCACTCGAAAGATCTGAGCCCCCTGCCTGCTGCCTGATGTGTGTGCACGCACTCACCGCCTCCCTGACCTCTGTCCGTCACTCTCCTGCATCCGTGTGGCTTCCCGTCCAGGCGTCTGTGTGTCCGTGTGTCTGTCTCCCTGTGCATGTGGCTGGCAGAGATGCAGTGGCGTGCATGCAGGCCCGGAGCAGGCCTTGCGGCATCAGAGAGGCGGCCGTGGCCAGGCTGCTAACAGCAGGCCCTCCCTCTCCCCGGTCATTGGTGCAGGTGTGCTGAGGACCACGAAGGCGGTCTGTTAGCTTTGGAGCCGATGCCGACTTTTGGGAAGGGGCTCGACCTCCGCAGAGCAGCTGAGGAAGCATTTGAAGTTAAAGATGTGCTTAATTCCACCTTAGATTCTGAGGCTTTAAAACATACACTGTGCAGGCAGGCTAAGAACCAGGTAGGTACCCACCAGAGCCCCGCCCCCACCCCACCTGGCCTCCTCAGCCAGGGGACAGCCAGCACTCACCTCCCGCCGTGGCCCTCCCAGGCCTGGGGAAGCTCTGATCACTACTGACGCCCCCGTGCTGCATCCTCCAGATAGGCCCCAGCGACCACCGCCCTCCCGCAAGCTGGGGTGCAGCAGGGAGGGGCTGAGAGCCGATGACCCTGGCGGGACCCTCACGAGGGAGCTCACTCGTGGACACGGGCAGCTCACCTTCCTGTGGTCCTCAGTGGGAAAGGTCTGTGAGCAGGTTTCTGGCCCGCCCAGCCACCTTCATCTCGCTCCCTCTCTGAACTGGGCCCCAGTGGCCTGCAGTCCGGGCTTTTCCCACGGGAAGAGCTGTGCAACCGGGCAGTCTCTGCTTCCCGGCTGGAGCTATGAGGTCAGCAAGGGCGCCAGGGTTGGCCCCAGGTGCTTCTCGGCTTCTCTCCTTAGGGCAGGTGGCCCCAGGGCCCTACCCACGCATCTCTCCAGTCTGTAGGGACTGGGGGTCTCATTCAGCTCTCTACAGCCCTCCCAGAGGAAACAGGTCCGCCCCAGGTCTCAGCAAAAGCCGTCTGCGTGTCTGTCTTTGTCTTTTTACTAATTCCGTCTGGAGTGTTAACTCGGGTGGGACAGCGTTGGGCTTCCCCACCTTCCTTGCCCTTAACCCGCACACGACGCTCCCCGAGTCCCATCCCCACCTGCCCTGTGCTGGGGGCAGAAGGGTGTCCCATGAGCTAATGCCTGGAAACATACCTGCACTTCCTAAGAATCCCATCGGCCCAGAAATGCTGCACGTCCCTGTCCCAGAGGCAGCTCTTTGGTGTCCCCACAGTCACCAAAACAGGCATCCCCTGGCAGGGGTGGCTCTTGTTGACCCCCAGTTCCCAGGGCCCTCTTAGACCAGACACGTGTCTGTAGTTTCTGCTGATCACCAAGTGGAGGAAACTTGGGGGGAAGGGGTAGGAAGGAGAGGACGCTTCGAGGGGGAGGACCCCAAAGCAGCCAAGGGAGCTGGTGTGCACAGGAGGCCCCGCACTGGCACCCCAGTGTCCTGGCATCACTCGGAGCAGCGGGTGGCCTTCCTCCCTCCCACTGTCACGGCTGCTCATATCTTCTTTTTCCAGGCTGCAGAGAGAATCTGGGTGTCTTAGTCCCTTTTGCTCCCTCTTCCTGCTGTGGACCAGGGCAAGGTTGAGCCAGGCCAGGGCCGCGGGAGGCTGGGAACAGACGAGGCTCAGCCCTGCCGTCCCGGGACGGTCTGTCCTGCCCGCACGCTCACCTGCCTGTGTGAAACAGCCCGCCCTGCCCATGCACTGCCTGTCTGGGATGGCCCGCCCTGCCCACGTGCTCACCTGCCTGTCCTGTGTGTGTGTCATCCCCTCCCCGCCAGGCATATGCAATGATGCTGTCCCTTTCCGAAGACACTCCTCTCCACACCCCCTCCCAGGGCTCTTTGGACGCTTGGTTGAACATCACTGGAGCCACGTCGGAGTCTGGAGCATTTCACCCCATCAACCACCTCTGACGGGCTGGGCGGCCGGGGGCCGGCAGCCAGAGTGAGGGCACCAGCCGCGGAGGACGGAGGTGGACGGGGCCCCGGAGAACCCTGTCCCTGCGTGTGGCCACTCCTCAACATCCTCCCCACCCACCATGTTTCATTCCGACTTTTCCAGTGGAAACTCAGACCCTGAAAGTCCCTAAAGCAGCCGTAGAATCTCACCATCTCCAAGGATTGGTCTTGAGAATACTGTTCAGTGATGGCCCTGCAGGCGGCCGTCCAAAGACAGCCAACGGAGCTGCCTCGCAGAATCAGTCAGTGCGCAGGTGGACGCTCTGCTGAGACACAGAATCAACCCGTGGACAGGTGGACGCTCCGCTGAGACAGAAGCTGGTGGCCACTGCTGGGTGCCTGCATGGGGTCGCAGAAGGGAATGGATAGACGGGTGTGCTCAAAAGAGAGAGATCACTCAAATGATTTTTATAATGAAATGACAAGAATAACCCTTTTGGTAATCGTATTGACTACAGAGTCTATTTAAGCATGTGGTTTTAAAAATAGACAGTATTTTTTAAAAATCAAAAAATGACTTGCAAATTGTTTTTTAAAAGTAATTTTGCATTGCTTTGAAATTTGAGCTCATTTGCAAACCTGAGTCTGCCTGGGAACCCGCACTGTGCCTGGGTGTGTTCTTTATACTGTAGATAATGGAGAAATTTTCTATCTCTGTCCCTATTTGTATACACCAAGGTGACGCTGGGTGCCCCGAGGCAGAACAAGAGGCATGGGACCACACCCGTGAACCGTGCAGACTGCTGAGGAAGTGTTAGACAGGGTGCCCTGGGCTGCAGGCCTGCCCGAGGCTGGGATGGGGAGCATGCCTGCCATCATGTGACATGGAATTGGTGCCAGGGCCACCACGTGGCCTTCAGAGGAATCCACAGGCCCCCACTTAAGACCCCTCAATTGTATGGGGAAGTCGAGGGCCCATGGCTTGAGTCCACCATGCAGAGATGTGGCTGGGCACCCACCTTCCTTCCCACCTCTGTTCCTGCCTTGGCCACCCCACGCCGGAACCCACCACCGTCTTCTGAAGGCAGGGCCTTGGCCATGTCCTGGGTCTCCCAACTCCCACCTGTCCCCCTCTCCGGTGTCCTCCACGTGGCTGCCCTGGGGAGCGATCCCAGCGGATGGCTCCAGGCCACCAAGCCGTACCTGTGCCTGAGACTCCGGATGGACGACACAGTCACCACGTCACTCTTCCTGTGTGTTCTTGGTGAGACACAGCTTGAGAACAGAAGGGCGTCGGGGGAACCTGCCACAAGCAGCAGAGACAGCACAACCCCCGGGGCCCGGCCACCTCCCTCTCTTGGGATGCAACTTCTTCCCCACTCGGATGGGCTTTAAATTATTCCCATAGGGGCCAATTTCAAATAATAATTTTTCCCTGATGGAATTTACCTTAATCTGTATATAACTTGTAATTTTTTCTAATTCATTTCTTTTCTTATTTTATTTCCTCCTTAACAGTATTTTTGGCATTAGACATTCTTATTGTGAAGAAATAATGTTAATATAAGTATCTGGTGAAGGACCAAAACCGTGTAATAAGGTTGTGTGTTGTGTGGGAGTGGGGCGATTTTTTATGTGCCAAATACCCCCGTCCCCCCCATGAATCCTGCTGTCCCTGCTGCCGTTTACCAGACAATCATATGTTTTTGTTAAATTTGCGTTTCAGTTGCATTTGCATTTAAGACAACTGTTCTATTTATTTCTTGTATTGTTTGGAAGAAAAAATCATGATAGTGTCCCAACAAGAAGAGAAAAAAAACGCCCACGTTGCCCTTAAAAAAAAAAAAAAAAAAAGAGCGTAAATACAAACAGGAGTGGTGCAAGCCGCCTCAGTGTGGGTTTGTGTCACGCGTGGACATCTCAAGCTGTCCCCAGCGGTGACAGGAGATGTCCTGGCTGCTCCAGGCCAAAAGACAATCGTCTCTGTGGGTGCCAGGTGGTCCAGGCTTGCACTGAAGACTTGCCATGGGGAGGTTCCTGCAGGAGGCTCCACCTGATGTATCACAGTGAAAGGGACCCCTCCCACGCCAGATCTGCACAGCGTGACAAGACCAGACCCACCTGTGCGTGCGCTGGGGCCACGTGCGGCCTGGGTGGCCCCCCGGGGCAGCGGGGGAGCTGCCTGCAGAAGAGCCAGCTGGCGTGTCGGGAAGGATTCAGGATCTGCAAACACAACCGTTCAGGCCTCCTTATGCGTTTCCACAACATCCCCTGGGTCAGACCCACCAGGTACCGCATAGGAATTTCCAGTTTTCCTTGATCTAGATGGGATTCTTGTAAAAATTCAACCTCGGACATAAACACCCCATTTCTGTAAACCCAAATTATATGATTTCTTCTGCGAAAGAGTAAGGTGTGTTTTTTTTTTTTTTTTTTTTTTTTTTGCAATACGGCCCTATCTCTCTGAAGTGGGGCGTTCGGACGGATGGAGCCCTCAGCGTGTCTTTTCGGCAGAAGCAGAACCGATGAGGGCCACCCTTACCGTTGCTCTCTGGATCTCCCTGTCCCATCCCGCCGTTTTCAGCTGTCTTCCCAAGCATCCCGTCTTCTCTCGGCGCTCTTTCCTTCCACCCTTCCCAAGAGTCCTGGTTGCACGTTTTAAGTCATATATTTCTGTCCCCCTGAAAATGATAGCAAGCCCAGTTTCTCCTGAGTATCCAGCCCCCAGGTCCCGCACTTGGCATTTTCAGGAGGCCCCTGTTCTCACTGCCCCTGACAAAGACAGCACTTATTTCCTGGGCTGGTGCACCCCAAAACGTGGCGCCGACACTTAGCGTGGCCCCAGGCCCCAGCGAGCCTCACCCTCCCAGCTTTGCTCCGCCCAGCAGTGTGGGTGCCCAGAGATGACATGGGCCAGGGAGCCCGGCCCAGGTGTGAGAATTCAGAGATTCTGGCCTTCAACTGTCACCACACTGTAAGGGGCCCATGTAGCTGTGTAGCATGGACAGGGACTCGACAAGGCAACTGGCTGTGTCTGTGGCCAGGTGGCCAGGGTCAGGGCTGCAAGCCAGGGGTTCAGGGCCCCTCCGTTCAGCCTAAATGCTGCCCCAATGCTAACTCCTTGGATTGTCAACCCCCGTCCCCCAAAGGGAAATTCCAAAGGAGGCCTCCTTGCACCTACCCTCTACTGCTCCTCAGAACCCCGCCCCCAGCGAGCCGACGTCCCCACCAGTTCCTGCTCTCATCCCCAGGTTGGGTCCATGGGGTTGCTCCTCTGTGGGCCCAGCAGACCCTTCATGAGGGGGACCCAAGATGTCACTGACTCCAACCCAGAGGAGCGAGCCCCTGCACCCTGCATGGGGCCCTGGGGTGTGGAGCAGTGGCTGGGGTGGGCATGGCGTGGCCTGAGAGCCTGCCCAGCTGGAGAGGCCTTCCTTTACAAGGCCATGCATGCAGCTGTCCCATCCAGACCCCAACTGGCCAAGACCTCCACGTCCCCAGAGTCCAGCCCTGGAAATTCCAAGGGCCCTGGTGTCCTCTGCCTTCCCCGCTTCCCCATGAGCGTCTGCAAAGCACTTGCCTGAATACATATCACGTATTTTAGACTCGAAGCCTCGAAGCACTGGATTGTAGTCCCCTGCTCCTCTGTCCCGTTCCCCTGCCCAAGTGACTGAAACCTACTGAGCTATATTCACTGTGCTGTCCTAGGGGAGGGAGAGGAGAGCTCGCCCCTGCACTGCAGCCTTGGGGGGGAGGGCAAGGCTCCCCTCCCAGCCAGGGATGCCAGGATGTAGCTGCTCCTGGTCAGTGGAGGTCAGCCGGGTATCAAAAGCCATGAAACTGTGTCTCTGTAGCAATGAGTGATACTGTGACGAAAACATTCTTGCGTTCTTCCGAGAAGAGTTCCTCTGCTCCTTCCATTCCATACTTGTGTTTGTTTTGTTCTTCTCTGTCACTGGTTCGTATCACCACTTTTGGAAAAAAACTACATAAATAAATAAAAGGCAGCTTGAGTTTCCAAACGTGCGATTCACTTGTGAACAAAAGTCATTCTAACAATTGCCTTTGGCGTCACGTGCATTGCCACTTCTCTTTCAGCACAAGGGATGCTGAGCCCTGGTGTCAGAATCGTAATTTAAAGCGTGTGTGTATACGGACTTTGTCCCTTAAGGTCTATATAAAGAATCCTCGCAGAATCACAGACCTGTGCCGCCCGCCACCTTTTGCCATTGTTACATGATAGATTTGGTTTCGTTTTGTTTTGTTTTGTTTTTTCTTTTAGAACTGTACAGTGTTGAAAAAGAAATCAAATGTAAATGTCCAGTTTTCATATAATGTTTAAAAAGACCATTGAGGAGGAGGCTGGCGCTCGCCCCACGTCCCCCTTGATTGTAAATTGCTTCTGTTTATAAGTAAACTGTGCATGACTCCTGCGTAGCGGTCATTATCGTGTCTGTTGGTGAAATTTTTATTAAAAGGAAAATTCTGTAGATGCACTTATTGAATATGTGATTAGGATCTACGTCCGAGACTAGGAGTCCTGAACTGCCGACGCAAAAGAGGCACAGTTCCCAATTAATACGGAAATCGCTGTGGGAGAAGAATGAAATGAGACATGAAGTGTAGGAAATCATGAAAAGAACAACTTTGCAAATTTCATTTGATGCTTGTGATAAAGACAAATGTACTTGTGTAGAGACATTTCCTTAAGAGAAGGCCTAGGAGAAGCTGATTTTGAGGTTAATGCTGTAGAATAGGACTGTATACCAAATGTAATCTTTCCAATGCTCCAATGAATTTATACATGAGATTGATATGCAATAAATCTGTGTGCTTTTCTAAGCCTCGGTGCCCGCGAGCTTCATTGAGGGAGAGGCCCCAGGCCTGTGGAAGGGAGAGGAGGCGCAAGCCAGGACTTGGCCGAGGTCCAGGCTCCCTGGCCTTGACTGAGGAGTCCCGGGGCCAGGCCTTGATGCCCTTGGAGCGTTGTTCCCTCCATCTTCCAGGGCAGACTCCTGGCTATTCCCATTTTCCAGAAAAGAATAAGCTCAGGAAGGCATCAACTCCCTGGACAGCCCTGCAGCGAGCACGGTGACCTCCAGGTGTGTCCCTCCGCCAAGCATGATGGCCTACAGATGCAGCAGCCTCCAGGCATGTCCCCCAGCTGTGCCTGCCTCCAGGTGCACAGGACCCAGGGCCTACCCCACAGGCCTTGCCCCGAGGTCTCCGGGGGACGCAGCATTCCCTGCTGGAGGTGCTGGGGGAACCGATCTTCCACGGCAGCATTCCCCAGGCTTTTTAGCACCTGGTTTCATGGCAGACAGGTTTTCCACAGACCAGGGGATGGATGGCTTGGGGCTGATTCAAGTGCATTACATATATCGTCCACTGTATTCCCATTATTATTACATTAGAGTATATAATGAAATAATTCTACAACTCACCATAGTGTAGAATCCGTGGGAGTCCTGAGCTTGTTTTCCTGCAGCTAGATGGTCCTATCTAAGGGTGATGGGAGACAGTGACCGATCATCAGGCATTAGATTCTCATGAGGAGCGAGCAGCCTAGATCCCTCACACACAGTTCACAACAGGGCCCATGCTCCCGTGAGAATCTCACGCTGCTGCTGATCTGACAGGATGTGGAGCACAGATGATGATGCGGACGATGGGGAGCGGCTGTAAACACAGAGGAAGCTGGGTTCGCTCAACCACTGCTCCCCCCATGCTGTGCGGCCTGGGTCCTAACAGGCCAAGAACTGGTCCTGGCCCATGGCCTGGGGTCTGGGGATCTCTGTTCTAGGCAAATCCTCAACACACCCCTTCCTAAGGGTGGCCCTCCCCATGTCAGCCCTCCCTGAAAGCTGTGTCCACCAGCACCTCACACAGCCTGACACTGTCCTGACAAGGGACAGCCACATGGGGTTGGGGGGTGGGAAGCGGAGGCCCTGGGGCTGGAGCAGACCCAGTCTCCTCAGGGGCTTCTCTGGCATTCCTTCCTGGGGCCCTCCTGCCTCCAGGAGAGGCTCCATCCCCCACCCCGATTCTGCTCTGACCCCGACCCAGAAGCCTAGGGTGGGTAAACCTCAAAGGGGAATGTCCAGCCAGGCCGAGTCCAGCCTCCCCAGCCAGGATCGCCCCAAACAGTCTCACCCACGTAGGTCCCCACTGGCTCCCTGCTGATACAGAGGTGAACTGATGTCCCCAGGCAACCTGGCTTCCCACCCAGGGCCTCTGAATGCCTCCTGGGCTCCCTTCTGCCAGGCCTCTGGAGCTGTGCCCTCCACCTCTCCCCTCCCCCCCACCTCTCCTCTCGCTTACCCCCGAGTGCCTGGAACACAGGCCTGGCTGGGGTTCCGGGAAGGTGGGCAGTCATTACCCACACGCGGTCAACAGCCTTGCTTCGGAGTCAACACCGCGGGCCTTCGACCATCTCCCAGCAGCATCTTTTTCCAAGGGCCCCTGTTTGAGAGTGGCCCAGGCTGATTATAAAACTGACATTTATGATGCCAGACACCTGCTCACATCAGCCACCACCACAGCTACTGCCTTGGCCGTGCCTATGGGAACCTCTCACCTGCCTGAGACCTCACAGACCCTTCTGCCTGCAGCCTCCCCTCCCCACTCCCTGAAGCTCCCTACCCCTGCATGCCACCCTCCTCAGCCACTCCAGTCCCCAGGGGGCAGCTCCGAACTCCCAGGACCTATACCACCAGCAAGAGATCCTCCCCACCTGCCAGACCACACGGAGGGGGCTGGGCAGCGCCTCTTCCACACGCCAAGAGCCCTGGGCTGCCCATCTGACACCCCCATATCTATCCCTTCGCATTCATGTAAGGAGAGGTAGCTGTAGGCAGGGAACTATCTCAGCTTCCTCCAGCACAGCTGAAGCGCTCAGGGATTCTAAGCCTCCCCATAGACTGGCACCTTGAGACCCCAGGTCACGCAGGGTACACCTTAGCCTCCGTCCACTGAGTCCAAAAATACCACATGCACTGGATTTGGGGCTGTGAGGACTCCTGGGGGCTCCCTGATTCATCTCTCGGTCCCCAAAGCCTGGCTTGGGGCCCATGCCTGGGAGGCTGCTTGCTTGAAGGAATGACGGGATGAGTGAATCAGTGGCTTGCTGTGAGGGCCATTACTCAGCACGGATTCTGGGATCACCAGGGCCTCCCAAGTTCACCGAGCGGCCAGAGAAGGCTCTAATGTAGGTAAAGGGAAGCGGGGGGGGGGCCGGGGTCCTCAACGGCAGCTCCTGGTGGCAGCCAAACGGGCACACGCAGAGGCTGATCTCAGAACAAGATCCCAGACCTGAGTCTGGGGTGTTGAGCATTTTTATGTTCTTAACAACACCACGTGAAGTGTTTACACAGTGCTGGACTAGCAGGGGCAATGCCTTTCAATATTTCTAAGTTCCTTCCCTTCCCGATGTGATTCACGAAGCGGCGGTGAGATCTTAAGCCCCCTCAGTCAGATGTGGGCTTGGCCCCGGGAGCCTGAGGCCCAGAGACAGCTTGGAAGGTTTCTCTCTGGGAAACACGTTTCCGCTCTCAGAGGACAAATTATGTGAATCACAGAATTGATGGATGGCCCTGCTCCCAAAAGTCACTCACAGCAATCGAATGACAGTACACAACCTCCGCATAATGGCCCTTCCCTGGAGCTGGCCACGCTGGGCCTCCACGAGCAAAAACCCTTCCCATCTTTGTTCAGCCTGGCAAACTTTCTCCTCATTAGCCCTGGAGGGGAGAGGAAAAATCTATGGAATAAGGGAGCTATCTGATAATGGCCCTATTGTCAGGGCGACCCCAGAGGGAGAGAGAACAGAGACTCACAGAATATTGCTGACAAGTGGACTTTGTCTTCCTGCGGCCGGTTCCTCGCATAAAAGACGGAGGAAAAAGGCTCCATTTTGGAAACAGGGAAAAATCAACAGGAGAAAAAAAAATGTGTCAATGAGGAATCTGTTTTCTGGGAAAAGAGATGCTTTTTAATTCCCCTTCAGATTCATTTTGGGCCAAGTGAGCTTGTCAGTTATTTGCAGAGAAGCTATTTTGAGAAGCATTAACCTTAATTCTCATGGCAGCAAAAGCCTCCCAAAAATCAAAATGTGTCCTCATTCAGGGTAAAATGGCCAGAACGAGGGTGGCTTTTGTACAGACAGAGGTGCCCAGAGAAAGGTGTCCCGCAGCATAAGTTGCTCAAGGGGGACTCTGGGATAGAGGCAGCCACCAGCCCTGAGCCTGGCTGCCATCCCTGCTGGTGGAAGGGGTCCGGGCTCTCCATGGCGGGACAACGTCTCCCACAAGCCTTGGTCCTCATTCAGGACAGGGAAGCCGGATGGAATTCACTCCCCCAGTTCCAGGGAATAAGAGAAAGAAATTCTGAGATGACAAGCAGAGCCCAGGCATGACCCGAACCCCAAAGAGGCGCTGAGGCCCACCCAAGAGCCCGAGGGAGGGCGCTGGCTCTTCCTCTGTCCCGCATTGGGGTATGTGGTCCTGGATTCCTGAGCCCATCAGGCCACCCAGAGGCTCCAGGAAGCCAGAGAGGCAAGGACAGAGCAGGGTCCAGCTTTAAGACGCAGTGAATAGCAGGCACTCATCCATGTAAGATCTGTGCACCAGCGCCCACAGCAGCCTTGTCATCACAGCTCCAACCCGGAAAGGGCCCAAACGTCCACCCACTGGTGCCTGCAGGGACTATGCAAAGGAACAAAGATCTCCCAAATGAGAACAGGCAGAGGCTGCTTACTCAGCGCTTGCTGTAGCAAGAGAGCCGGCCGCCATGGCCTGCCTGGCAGAGCCTCCAAGGCAGGCAAGGGGCTGGGCAGCTTCAGAGTGGAGATGGGAAGACTCCAGGTGAGCCCCGATGGAGGCTGTTGGCCTGGGGAGCTGGAGGCGGCTGACCAGAAGCAGGTGTCCTTCGGGATTAGGGAGGGGGCCTGTGAAGAGTTGGAATATGAACTGAAGTGGGGACAAAACTTAGGGAGGCCATCAGTTGCCAATCAAGTGTTGGCCATTTGGGGGCCAGCTGTGGCAGACGTTAGTGCTTTTCATTGCTGCAGCCTGTGAGCCAGAGTGTTGTTTTTTTAATAAAATTTCATTATTAGAGCAGTTTTAGTTCACAATAAAATCAATCAGAAGGTGCAGAGATGGCCATGTGCTCCCAGCCCCCACACATACACAGCCTCCCCCATTATCACCGTCCCCCATCTCAGCAGATGAGCCTGCATCCACACGTCCTCACCCACAGTCCCCGTCGGGGTTCACTCTTGGAGTACATTCTACGGGTTTTGACCAACGTGGACTGGCGCGGATTCCCCACATCAGTGCCATACAGCTGGGTTTCACCACCCCAAAAATCCTCTGGGCTCTGCCTCTTCATCCCTCCCTCCCTGCAACCCAGGCAACCCAACCTTTTTATTCTCCACAGCGTTGCCCTGGCCAGAATGTCATGTCGTTGGAATCACACAGTGTGTATGCAGCCTTTTCAGACTGGCCTCTTTCACTTAGAAATATCCATTTAAGATGCCTTCAGGTATTTTCTTTTCCTTTTCTTTTTCTGAGACAGAGTCTCACTCTGTGGCCCAGGTTGGAGTGCAGTGGTGTAATCTCAGCTCACTGCAGCCTCTGCTTCCCGGGTTCCAGTAATTCTCCTGCCTCAGCCTCCTGGGTAGCTGGGATTACAGGCACGTTCCACCCCACCTGGCTAATTTTTGTATTTTTAGTAGAGATGGGGTTTTACCATGTTGATCAGGCTGGTCTCGTACTCCCGACCTCAGGTGATCCGCCCACCTCGGCCTCCGAAAGTGCTGGGATTACAGGTGTGAGCCACCGCACCCGGCCTCCTCCATGTCTTTTCATGGGTTGATCACTCATGTCTTTTAGCACTGAATGATATTGCACTGTCTGGATGGACCACAGTTGATTTAACCACTCACCTACTGAAGGACATCGTGCTAGCTTCCAAGTTTCGGAAGCCACTATAAAGGTTTTTGTTTGGATACGTTTTCAACTCCTTTGGGTGAAAACGACTATGATTTCTGTGTCCTACGATGAAAGTGTGTTTACATTTGTAAGAAAACACCAAAGTCTTCCAGAATGGCTGTACCGTTTTGCATTCCCATCCGTCACGAAAGAGGGCTCCTGTTGCTCCACATCCTCACCAGCACGTGGCATCGCCTGTGTTCTGGATTCGGGCCGTTCTAACAGGCGTGTGCCAGCATCGCACTGGGGCTTTAATTTGCAGCCGCCTAAGATGCCATGTGGAGTGTCTCCCCACTGCTTCAGTGCCTTCTGCAGATCTTCTTTGTGAGGGGTCTGTTCAGGTGGGCACTTTCTTATTGCTGAGTGTGCTCTAGTCCTGCACTTGGTCTGGCCTTTGGTCCACTTCGCCTCTGAAAACAGTGATGCCTCCATTGGAAGGAAGACCGCTCGGCAATGATGGGACAGCCGCTGGTGCGGGCCTCAAAGCCACATGGCTGAATCTCTAAGCCAGTGTGCCAGTGAAGGGAGCCACGGGCTGGAGAGTTCTGTGCAACCGACGTCTGGAAAAGGCAAAGCTACGGGAAGGGGCACAGATCCACGCCGGGGGCGCAGGGCCAGGGGACTTACTGCGATGGGCACAGCAAGACTTCTAGAGCGACGGACACATCCTATATCATGATGGTGGTTACACAGGTATACACTCATTAAAACTCATCTCACTGGACATTTTAAAAGGGTGATTTTACGGCACATAAATTGTGCCTCGATTGACATCATTTGTCAAAAACTGTGTGTCCCGCCCATCCCCACTTTAAGGCTGGGGTCTATCGTGGAGCTGCCGTTCCTGGAGGCCCTGGTGCAACTGAAAGCAGCGCTTCTCACCCAGGCTCCCTACTCCCCCAGACCTACACTTGTAGGCTCACCCAGGCTTCCCCTACCCCCAGACCTACACTCCTAGGCCAGCCAGTCATTGTACCCTTGGAGAGGCTCTTGCCCTACTAAAGCACAAGTTGACCAGCAGCAAGCCCAGTGGGTCCTCGAGACTGGGGGCATGGGGCGGGGTGGAAGGGTGAGTGGCAAGGAGCAGAAAGGGTCTTGGCTTTGCTGAGGGCCAGTGCTGTGGGCTCCCAGCCTTGCCTGGCCCCAGGCCTTTGGGGTATGCCTACTTCCAGCCCCTCCCAGTCAGCACAGAGCTTCTGAGCAGATTTTCTGCTTGATATCATTCAAAGAGTTTAAAAACACACAGAGCAGCGTTGTAGGCTTTGATGGTTACATATGCCCATAGCAAGGGAACAAAAATGTGGTATGAGATGGATAAATACCAAATTCCGAGTTGTGGTTTCTTCTAGAAAGAAAGGAAGGTGGTGGGCTGGGGGCCGGGGGAGTGAACAGGCTTGGAGGGTGGGCTTCAATTTTATGTGCAGTTGTAGACACTTCAGGGTTCTCTAAATCACATTCAGGTCACCTGCAGAGTGACAGAGACAGAGAGAGGAGAGAGAGAAGACAGTTACTGTTATATCCTGTTTTATGTTTTGTTGCCTCACTACACAAGCCAGGCCAGCATTGAGTGGCAGTGCTGAGTGGACTTCCTTGCCAGGCTCAAGATCCCAAAGAGAAAGTCATCCATTCTCCAGCATCAGGTCTGCTGTGAGCTATCAGGTACCCTTTATGACACTGAGCAAGTGACCTTCCATTTCTACATCACTGAGATTTTTATTTTATTTTATTTTATTTTATTTTATTTTATTTTATTTTATTTTATTTTATTTTATTTATTTATTTTGAGACAGAGTCTCGCTCTGTCACCCAGGCTGGAGTGCAGTGGTGTGATCTCGGCTCACTGCAAGCTCCGCCTCCCGGGTTCACACCATTCTCCTGCCTCAGCCTCCCGAGTAGCTGGGGCTACAGGTGCCGGCCACCACACCCAGCTAATTTTTTGTGTGTGTTTTTAGTAGAGACGGGGTTTCACCGTGTTATCCAGGATGGTCTCGATCTCCTGACTTTGTGATCCACCCACCTCGGCCTCCTAAAGTGCTAGGATTACATGTGTGAGCCACCGCGCCCAGCCTAGATTTCTTTTTTAATAAGCATTCGGTTGAGTCAAATGCTTTCTCTTCACCTATTGAAAAGTTACATGATTTTTCTCCTTTAGTCTGGTAATGTGGCAAATTACACTGACTGAATTTCTTTTTTTTTTTTTTTTTTGAGACAGAGTTTTTATCACCCAAGCTGGAGTGTAGTGATGCGATCTTGGTTCACTGCAACCTCCACCTCCCAGGTCCCAGTGATTTTCCTGCCTCAGCCTCCTGAGCAGCTGGGATTACAGGTGCCCACCACCATGCCTGGCTCATTTTTTGTATTTTTAGTAGAAATGGGTTTTCATCACGTTGGGTAGGCTGGTCTTGAACCCCTGACCTCAGGTGATCTACCCGCCTTGGCCTCCCAAAGTGCTGGCCACTGACTGATTTTCAAATATTAAACCAACCTTGCTTTCCTAAGATAAGCCTCACTCGATCATGAGATGTTACTGCTTAGGTAACAGCTGGATTTGATTTAATATTTTATAAAATAATTCCATACCTATATCCATGAGGAATATTAGTCTATACTTTTATTTTCTTGTGACTTTTTAGTATCGGTGTCAGGACAATACTGACCTCATGAAATGAGTTGAGAAATGTTTTTTCTTCCTCATGTTTCTGAAAGAGGTTATGTGAGATTGGTATTATTTCTTCCTTTTGATTGAATGTTTAACTGAATTCACCAGTGTTGTCATTAGGGCCTGGAGTATTCTTTGTGTAAAGGTTTTTTTGTTTGTTTGTTTGTTTTTTAATTAAGGATTCTTACCATAAGTTTAGGGATAAAAAAATAAAAAACAGGCCCTGTGCAGTGGCTCTCGTCTGTAATCCCAGCACTGTGGGAGGCTGAGGCTGGCAAATCACTTGAGCTCAGGAGATCAGCCTGGGCAAGAAGGTAAAACCCCATCTCTACAACAATTTTAAAAATCAGCTGGGTCTGGTGCATGCCTGTGGTCCCAGCTACTCAGGAGGCTGAGGTAGGAGGACTACTTGAGTTGGGAGGTCGAGGCTGCACTGAGCCATGATTGCACCACTGCACTCTGGCCTGGGTGACACAGTGAGACCCTGTCTCAAAAAATAATAATAGTAATAATAAACAAAATATAAAATTGTACGTTTTCAATAGATACAGTGCTATTTTGATTTTCTATTTTTTCTTATGCCAGTTTTGATGATTTGTGTCTTTTGAAGAACATGGCCTCATGCCTGTGGTTCCAGCACTTTGGGAGGCCGAGGTGGGTGGATCATGAGGTCAGGAGATGGAACCCATCCTGGCTAACATGGTGAAACCCCGTCTCTACTAAAAATACAAAAAATTAGCTGGGCGTGGTGGTGGGCGCCTGTGGTCCCAGCTACTCAAGAGGCTGAGGCAGGAGAATGGCGTGAACCCGGGAGGCGGAGCTTGCAGTGAGCCACGATCGTGCCACTGCACTCCAGTCTGGGACAGAGTGAGACTGTCTCAAAAAAAGAAAAAAAAAAATGGCTGTTTCATCTAAGTGATTGAATCTATTGGCAAAAGGTTACTCAGAATATTTTCTTATCATTTTAATGTCTGCAAGATCAGTAGCAGTGGCCCTCTTTCTCTCCTGATACTGGTAATTTGAGCCTTATCTCTTTCTTTGGTAATCTAGTATTATCAATTTTATTGATCTTTTCAAAGATAGCCTTTTATTTTATTGATTTTCTCTATTATTGTCTATGGCACTGATTTCCATTGATTTCTTATTTTTTAATTTACTTTGGCTTTAGTTTGCACTAATTTTTTTTCCACTTAAAGATGGAAGCTTAGATCAATTTTCAACATGTCTTCTTTTCTAATAAGCGTTCAAAGTCATCAGTTTCCCTCTAAGCACCACATTAAGGGCAGTCCACACATTTTCATATTCCGTATTTTCATTATAATTCAGTTCAAATATTTTCTAATTTCTCCTGCAATTCCTTCTTTGACCTTCAGGTTTCTTAAAAGTCCATTAATTTCCAAATATTTAAGAATTTTTCAGATATCATTTGTGATTGGTTTCTAATTTAATTGTGTTGTCAGAAAACATACTCTGTGGGATTTCAGTCATTTTAAATGTATGCGGGTATGTTTTATGGCCTAATATGTGGTCTGTCTTGGTGTATATTTCATGTGTACTTGAAAAGAATATGAATTCTGGAGTTACAGTGCTCTATAAATGTCAGTTAGGTCAAGTTGGTTGATAGGGTTGGTCAAGTGTTTTATACCCTTGGTGATTTTTCTATCTAGTGTCCTATCAGTTGTTGAGAGCAAGTGTTGAAACCTTCAACTATAACTGTGGGTCTAGTTTCCTTTCAGACTGGTCAGTGGTCATCTGCTCTTGTGTGTATTTTGAAACTGTTATTATGTGCATAGGCACTTAGGACTATCTTCTTGACCAACTGAATCCTTTATTATTACATATTTCCCCATGGAAATACTCTTATTCTGAAATATGCTATTATCTACTATTAGCAGAGCCATGCCTGCTTTCTTGTGACTAGTATTTGCATGCATATCTTTTACTTTCCTTTTACTTTCATCCTATCTGTATCTTTATATTTGAATCACCCTATCTAATAAGCATCATGTCATTGGGTCTTGCTTTTGATCCAGTCTGACAATCTCTGCCTTTTAATTGGTGTGTTTAATCCGTTCACATTTAATATAATTATTGATATGGTTAGATACAGGCTACCATCTTGATATTTGTTTTCTGTTTGTCAGATCTGGTTTTCATCTTTGTTTCTGTTCCCCTGCCTTCTTTTGGATGAGTATTTTCTAGGATTCAATTCTCTCTTCTCCCTGGGCTTATTAGCTATAGCTCCTCACCTTAATTTTTAGTGTCTGATTCAGAGTTTTCAGTATTTACCTTTATCATTATCTATCTTTAAGTGATATTATACTCACTGTAAAATATACAAACTTTACTCTGATATATTTCTATTCTCTCCTCCTGCCTTTTGTGCTTTTACTGTAATATATTTCACTTTTACACATAAATTTGATAATACCCTGTCATTATTTTCACATTAGTCTCTGATCTTTTAAAGAAATGTTTTGGGCCAGGTGTGGTGGCTCACACCTGTAATCCCAGCACTTTAGGAGGCCAAGGCAGGCAGATCACAAGGTCAAGAGTTCAAGACCAGCCTGGCCAACACGATGAAACCTCCATCTCTACTAAAAAGATACAAAAATTAGCCAGGCATGATGGTGCATGCTTGTAGTCCCAGCTACTCGGGAGGCTGAGGCAGGAGGACCACTTGAACCCAGGAGGTGGAGGTTGCAGTGAGCTGAGATCATGCCACTACATTCTAGTCTGGGTGACAGAGTGAGACTCCATCTCAAAGAAAAAAAAAAAAAAAGGAATGTTTTGAAGCACAGAAAAAACGCCTCTCACATTTATCGACATATTTGCCATTTCCAGTGGGTTTCTACGCCTTGTGCAGACCTTAATTTATATCTGATATCATTTTCTTTTAGCCTGAAAAAATTCCTTTGACATTTCTTATAGTGTAGGTCTACTGGTGATGAATTTTCTCAGCATTTGCCTTAAAATGTCTTTATTCTCCTTTCATTTTTGAAGGATATTTTCACGAGAAATGGACATCTTGGTTGACAGTTTTGTTTTCTTTCAGCACTTTAAAGATGTTGTTCTAGTTCTCTCAGCTTTCAGTGTTTCCGATGACAAGCCAGCAGTTATTTTTGTCTTTATTCCCTTGTGATTTTTCCCTCTGTCACTGGTTTTCAGCCATTTCATTATGAGGTACCTTGGTGTGGTCTGCTTTGTACGTATGCTGCTTTGACATCTTTGTACTTATTCTATTTCATTTTAAGGTCCTTGGATCTGTGGACCTATGAGTTTTTATCATATTTGAAAATTTTTCAGCCTTTTTTTTTTTTTTTAATAAGACAGAGCCTTGGTCTGTCACTCAGGCTGGAGTACAGTGGCCCAACCACGGCTCACTGGAGCCTTGACCTCCCTGGACTCAAGCAATCCTCCCACCTCAGTCTCCCAAGTAGCTGGGACTACAGGCATGCACCACCATGCCCAACTAATTTTTGTATTTTTAGTAGAGACAGGGTTTCACCATGTTGCCCAGGCTTGTCTCGAACTTCTGGCCTCAAGTGATCCATCCACCTCAGTCTCCCAAAGTGCTGGGATTACAGGTGTGAGCCACTGAGCCCAGTCATTTCTTTAAACATATTTTCTCCCTTCCCCCTCCCCCATTTCTGGTCCTCCAGTTACACATATTGTTAGACTGCTTGATGCCTGATGCTGTCTCACAGGTTGACAAGGCTCTGTTTCTTCCTTTTCACCGGGTTTTTCCTCTGCATGCTTCAGTTTGAGTAACTTGTATTATCCTGGCTTCAAGTTTACTGATAGTTTTCCTCTGTAGTTTAATCTGCTGTTAATCTCATCCAGTAGATTTTTTGTTTCATACATTGTATATTTTCATCTTTAGAATTTCCATTTGATTCATTATTATACTTTCCATCTCTCCTTTGACTACGATCATGGTTTCCTATAAATCCTTGAAGAGGCAGGTAGGTAGGTAGGTAGGTAGGTAGGTAGGTAGGTAGGTAGATAGGTAGGTAGGTAGGTAGGTAAGTAGATAGATAGATAGATAGATAGATAGATAGATAGATAGATAGATAGATAATCTTTTTTTCTTTTTTGAGACAGGGTCTGGCTCTGTTGCCCAGGCTGGAGTGCAGTGGTGCGAGCTCAGCTCACTGAAGCCTCCAAATCCCAGGCTCAATTGATCCTTCCACCCCAGTCTCCCAAGTATCTCGCCTGGCTAATTTTTTGTATTTTTTGTAGAGATGGGGTTTCACCATGTTGCCCAGGCTGGTCTTGAACTCCTGGACTCAAGCAACTCACCATCTCAGCCTTCCAAAGTGCTGGGATTACAGGCATGCAGCACCGTGCCCAGCTGATCCTTGGGCGTATTTTTGATGGTTGTTTTAAATGCCTTCTCTGTGAATCCTGTCATCCATGTCATTTCTGGGTCTGTTTTTATTGACTGATTTTTTTCCCAATTATCTGTCACAGGTTCCTGTTCCTGCTTCTTCACATGTCTAGTAATTTTGCACTGGGTGCTGGAGGTTGTAAATGTCAAAGTGTTTGAGTTTCTGGATTTTATTGGCCTTCTTTTCAAGAATGTTGAGGGTTGGCCGGGTGCGGCAGCTCAAGCCTGTAATCCCAGCACTTTGGGAGGCCGAGATGGGCAGATTACGAGGTCAGGAGATCGAGACCATCCTGGCGAACATGGTGAAACCCCGTCTCTACTAAAAAAATACAAAAAACTAGCCGGGTGAGGTGGCGGGCGCCTGTAGTCCCAGCTACTCGGGAGGCTGAGGCAGGAGAATGGCATGAACCCGGGAGGCGGAGCTTGCAGTGAGCTGAGATCCGGCCACTGCACTCCAGCCTGGGCGACAGAGCGAGACTCCGTCTAAAAAAAAAAAAAAAAAAAAGAATGTTGAGGGTTAATGCTGATGCAGTTAACGTATTTGTGGATCAGCCTGGTCCTTTCGGGACTTGTTTTGAACCTTCGTTAGGTCATGTCTAGAGGAGCTGTCACCCTAGGATTACTTCAGCCCTTCACCTAGGACATGGCCTTCTTTGGTAACTACTGAATATTCTGGGTGGTCAAGATTTTTCCCCTCTGTCCCTGGTTTTCAGCCATTTCATTATGAGGTACTGTGGTGTGGTCTGCTTTGTATGTATGCTGCTCTGACTTCTTTGTACTCACTCTCCATTGCTTTGAGGTTCTTGGATCTGCGGATCTATGGGTTTTTATCACATTTGGAAATTTTTCAGCCATTCATTTTTTGAGACAGAGTCTTGGTCTGTCACCCAGGCTGAAGTACAGCGGCTTGATCATAGCTCACTGGAGACTTGTCCTCCCCAGGCGCAAGCGATCCTCCCACATCAGATTCCCAAGCAGCTGAGGTCAACAATGGATAGTCAGGGAGGGCTCTTCCTTCCTGGTGGCTGATGCTCCAGCATCCCCTGGCCTCATGTGAACTCTGGCTCCCGGTGGCCAGCGTTCCAGCATCCCCTGCCTCGCGTGAACTCTGGCTCCCGGTGGCCAGCGTTCCAGCATCCCCTGCCTGGTGTAAACTGTGGCTCCCCGTGACTGGCATTCCAGCATTCCCTGGTCTGGTGTGAACTCTGGTTCCCGGTGGCTGGTGTTCCAGCATTGCCTGGCCTGGTGTGAACTCTGGTGTCACTCTGCTCACAGAGCTCCCTGGTCACCGTTGGTCCCTGGCTTCGTGGGATCTTACTCTGCTTATGCACAGTTCAGTATTCAGCCAAAGGCTCAAGTGGACTCTTGTGGGGATTTTGGGGGTTCCACTGCATTGCTGCCTTCTCTCCAGGACTCTTTCGGGGCTCCCCTGCACTGCTGCCTTCTCTCCAGGACTCTGTCCATAGTCCTTGCCCTCCTTGGTTTCCCAACTCTGTCCCCTGCAGCCCAGTGAAGCCACCAGGTTCTCTCAGCCAAAGGCTTATTTGCCTCTTCCTCCAAGAATTTCTGTCTCTGCACCTGTTGTCCAGTGTTAGAAACAGCTGTTTCTCATATTTTTTGTTCCGTGTTCGAGTTATTTGTGGTGACAGATAAGTCTGGTACCGACTACTTTGTCATGGCCAAAACACCTGACATGTTTTAAATTCTCAACTTGGGCAAGATACATGGGGTTGCTTTTATATTTTTTTATATAAAAATATAGACTATAGGCATGTCTTTGTAAACCAGAAATGGTCCCTAATGATGACCAGGGATCCTGGGCTTGGGCGTCAGACAGACCTGGGCTCTCACTTCGGCTGGGTCACTTACCAGCCAGGTAACAAGCGGCAAAACATTTCTCCTCTCAGTTAAGTGTGGACAACAACGACATCTGAGGGGTTCCCATAAGAATTCACTAAGATGACGCATGCAAGGCCCTCAGCATGAGGCTGGCACATAGTAGGCGCTTAATGGGAAGTAATGACCACCTGCTATTTTAGGGTACAAGGAGGAGGGGCATTTGCTCCTCAAACCCAACCTTCTTCCCACCAGCCCGGCCCCCCCAGCCATGGGCCTCCACCCACCCAGCACAGAGGCATCTCTGTCCTCCATCCAACTCACAGCCACACCCTTGGGGCACTTTCCCAGCTGCCTGTGGGCTGGACAGGACACCCATGGAACTGCAGTGGGTAACAAGGCAGCCCAGCATTGAGGGCCTGAGCACTGAGGGCTGTCATGACCTTCCCTCCACCCTGAGTGCTCCTCAGGGCCCCAGAGAGGGAGAGGAGCAGGTGGGAGCACTGCTCACTCGGCCTGGCAGGGAGGACAAACCTGCCCAGCAGCCTCAGCTCACCCTCAGCCCTGGGCACCTACCCTGGAAGGTCAAGCCAAAAGGCCTCCCATGGGGCTGCTGGCCTCAGGCACCACCTAAGGCCACGGGCTGTCTGTGCTGTCTGTGCTGTGGCCCTAGTGGCTGAGCAAAAGCTTGGAAAACTCAAAGCAAGGCCTGCAGGAGCTCAGGCCACCTCAAGTCGCAGGGAAGGAGCTCTGCTCCTGCAGACAGAGGTGTGTTCTCTGGCTGGCACACCGGTGCCCGGCCAGAGCGCTGCCCACCCTGTAGCAATGCCCAGTGGCTGTTAAGCTTGGGGGATCCACATCTTCTCCCCTGCTGGTTATGTGAGAGGGGAAGGCCCCCAGGGCAGGCAACACACATGGCTGAGCCACAGGCTCTGGATCCCACCACAGAGGTGCAGAGAGTGCCACGGCCTACCCCGCTGGCAGGCCTCCCCGAAGTCCCTTTCTCCTTGCCAGCCCCTTAAGTCTCCAGGCTGGTTCCTTCCAACCTCTCCCTTGGGCCTCGTGCCAGGGCGATCTCCTGGGTCATCATCAGGCCCTCATTTACAGCGGAGGTGACAGAGGCACAGAGAGGTCCTGCCACCAGCTCAGGTGACATCCCCAGCAAAGGGACTGTCCTAAGCACATGCTGAGTGGCCTCCAGGAGCCAGCAGGACATGGAGAGACAGAGCCAGACCCAAGGTGGCTGGACGGGCCGAGTAGGGCCTGGACAGAAGGTGTGGGGTTGGGGGTAACTTGGAGGCAGCTTCTGAAAGAGGGTTTTACAGGAAAGCACTCAGTGGGAATCGGGAACCTGGGTCCCACTGAGTGGCCTGATGCAAGGCTTCCGTCCCCCCACGGGGCCTCAGTGACCCCACCACACCTCAGTCCCCTCAAGGGTCAAGGCTCCGGGTCACCCCAGCTCCCTCTGGCAAGCTGGGCCTTGTAGGTGCAGTACCCATCATGGACTCTGGAGGGCAGCAGCCACCTGCCTTTTCCAGGAGCTGCCTGGAAGTGGAACCTCCCCGCAGGCGGCTCCAGGTGGAGGCTGCGGCCCACAGGGGTCAGCTCTTAGCTCCTCCCTCATCCCTCCCCGGGAGGATGGATGACCCATGGGACCCATACCTGAGGCCAGCTTGTGCCCTGCCCAGGTGGCACCTGACGCCCAGGCAGCCCCTGCCGCAGGGTAGACACTGGGGGACTAGTGGGTGGGGCGACCAGTGCAGGAGAAGGGCAGGCAGTCCCCCTAACCATGACACCTGAGAAAATGCCAAGCTACAGCCCCAGAGCCTGCGGTGTCTCCTCACCCCGCAACGGGATCTCAGGGCTGCCCGGCCCAGGGAGGCAGGTTCTGGGAGGAGGACGGTCAGTGCCTCTGGCTGGCACACAGGTGCCCAGCCCACACCCCGAGGCCTGGGGTCAGTGAGGGGACGCCAGTGGAAGCTGATCCAAAGCCCAGTGTGGATGTTCACACGGAAGCCTTTGGTAACAGGCCTTTCCTGAAAAGGGGATGAGGAAGGCAGGTCAGAAGTGGGTCTGAGACCTGGGACCTCAGGTCACATTCCTGAATGGCCAGGCCCAAGCTTGGGAGTCTTGGCTCAGCCCCCAGCCCCTTCCACAGCACCAGGGAGCCTGATTCCTGAACCCCCAGCTGGGGGGCCCTCCCTCACCTTCACACTCGTTCCCAGCAGGCGGAGCAAGGAAAGGCCAGCCTCGGAGTCCAGGCTCAGCCGTGTGCACGCTGGCGAGCGCCTTCCTTTCCAGGACTCGGTCCTTCTCTGTGAAATGGGGATGACCGCCACTCAACCACACCAAGAAGGTGGCCAGAGTGCTTTGCGCCCTCTTGGCTGTCTTTGGCCGCTTGGCTTCCAAGAATCCAGAGGGCCGGGCCTTTCTACAGCCAACATCGGTCCCCGCAAGGCTGGTCTCCTTCCCCGAAGGCTTCCTGGAGGAGGCGGTGGAGCGGGGCCTGGAAGGACAGTGACGCAGGAGGGAGCCGAGCCGCTCCGGCCCCACGTCTGGCAGGCGACGCCCGGGCCGGCCTCGAGGGGGCGTGGGCGCGGGGAGGGAAGGCGCAGGCACCGGGCGGCCGCGGCTCGGAGGGAATCGAGAGGCGCGATCCAGTCCGGGCGATCACGTGGGCTCCAGCCGGCCCAGGTGGGGCTCTGACCTGTGACGCAGGCGGCGCCGCCACAGGTGCCCGGGACGCGCCCCGCCCCCTCCCTGACCCTCCCCGCCCGGGCCCTCGGACCCGGAGCCGCCCCGCCCGCCCAGCGCCCACCTGCGGGGCCGCAGCCGCCGCCCTCCCGCCAGACAGCGCAGGAAGTGCAGGAGGCGCCCCCGGCCGGACCGCGCGGCCGCAGGAGCGAGGCGGCTGCAGGATAGGAGGGGATCCGGCGCTGGAAGCTGCACCGTCTGCGCGCCGCCCCTCCGTCCCTCCGCCCTGCGGCGCAGGTGAGAGCCTGGGGGACAGGTGAGCGGGGAGACAGGTGAGCCGGGGCTCGGGGGAGCCTGGGGAAGGGGGTAAGCCCGGGGGAGGCGTCGGGAACCCGGGGCGCCTCTCCTCCCCTCGCTTTTCCCGCAAGCCCCGCCCCGGGAGCCGCAACAACTTCGCGACCCTCCCGTGCCTCCGCCGGGGCGGGAGGGGCGGGGTTCGCGGTCTAAGCCGCCCCCAGGCAGCCCCCTGCTTGCCCCTGCACGCTCGCTCGCTGCCCTCTCTCGACCCCCAGTGGCTGCTTCCTCTTCCTAAAGGAAAACTTCCATGCAACCGGAACCTGGGTTCAGATTTGAGCGCGGAGGACGCTGGAAGCCCCAGAGAGTTTGAAAGAGCATGGGGTGGGGGGCAGAACAGAACGACCCTCCCGGGAGCTCTTTGGGGAATCTGACGCCCAAACCTGCTTTGGTCCCAAAAGTTCAGAAAAGCTCCAAGAAGGAAGAACCCAACACCCAAGACACACACAAACCACACGCCCCTCCCCCACCCCGTGGACTTGGTGGGCGGTGGCAGGGAGGGACCTGCTTTGTCTCCCCTGTGAAGGGAGGCAGGGAGGGGAGGGGTGCGTCCCACCTACCAGGGAGCCTTGGCGGCTTGTCTTGGCTGCTCAGCCTCTTTCTGTGTCTGTGAAATGGGAACAGGCTCCCTTTTGAGATTTGAGTAGATGGGGGGACCGACGGAGTGGCAGTGATGGCAGGTCTTGGTGGCCTCTGCATCTAACCTGAATCAAGGCCTGAATCTTCCCTGTGTCTTTGAGGGGAACAGTCTGTGCACCACCTAACATGGGGGCCTAGGGGGTGCGTGTGGGCCTGGCTTGGACCAGCAACAGGGTCCAGGCACTGTGTGTGGCTGCGGGCCCTGACACCTCCGTGGCATAGTTCCCAGGTGTGCCCGTCACATCCTGGCTCTTTGTGAACTAAGCAGCTCTCGGGTCCTCAGTCTCCTCATCCGTAAAATGGGACTAGTAGAAGTGTTGAGGAGTTAGAAGATGTTGACCCACAAGTGTGCCAGGCAGACGTGGTCCCTGCTGTGCGATGCCCACGGCCAGCAGAGGGGAACAGGGTGAGAGAAAGGTACTGTCCAGAGCAGGAGCTGTGGGCTGAAAGTGGGCATTCCCCACCCACCCAGTCCTGCTGGAAGGGAGGTGTCTTGGGGGCTTCCTGGAAGAAGTAAGTCACCTGGACCAAAGTCACCTGGAGGGTGGGATGGGCCCTCCCCCCTCCCCCAACCTGGACACTGGGGAGAAACCCTTGCTGGGGGGGGCCTCCCTGAGGGCACTGGCTCTCCAGGGGCCATCTCTGACCCATAGGACAACCCTATGTGGGAAGCACTTTCCACCTACACATGAGGAAACCGAGGCACAGAAGTGAAGCAGTGAGAAGCGGTGTGCCGGGGTCCCCACAGCTCACATGTGGAGCGCGGGTCCCCATCCTGAGGATGGCCATTTGTGTTCACGTTGTGATCCAGGTGCAGGCGCTCCCCGCGAGTTTGGGTCTGAATTTTAGTTTTGGTTTCCGGATGGATCTGGGCTGCTCCTGTCCTTAGCGCAGGGGACTGTCTGTCCGGAGCAGCGTCCTTATTTCTAGTGACTCCCTGGCCGAGGCCAGAAGCCCCACTGCCCCCCCGTCCCAGTTTGGGGACAGCCATCCAGGTCAGGACAGGGCCAGCAGTCCCACCCAGGCAGGCCACATTCCCTCTGCACCTGGTTGGGTGGCAGGGGACCTATCCCCTGCGTGGGCACCTGTCAGAGGCAGGCTGTGATTCCCACCCTTTGGGGGAACCCCGTGAGTGGCAACAGAGCCAGGGACAGTGCCTGGGTTTATGGGACGTCTCATTCAGAGCTGGAGCTGGGGAGTGACTGGAATGCGCTTTGGGCTGAGCTGGCTACGTCCAGGTGGGAGGGCCAGATGCACTTCCCCGCCCCCACTATGCAGGGTGGCTCTCTGCTTAGCTGCCCAGGGTTTCCCCACCGCAGCCCTAGGGGCCTTGATCCAGATAACAGGTCTCTCCAGCAGCCTTGCTGACCAGTAGCCAGGACTCCTGACTACCAGCAGTGTCTCCAGACGTTGCCAAATGTGCCCTGGGGGGCAAAACTGCCCCAGTGCAGGCCGCAGAGCTGAACCTCTGGCCACCTTGCCAACGGAGCTGGCTGATGTGTGCTGCATGATTTACAAAACCAAGTCCTCCTCCAGATTATGTGACTGAGTCCGAAGTTTGGCTGGGCAGAATTACCGGAGTACAAGGGCATCATTGTGGCTTGAGTTTGCATGCACTGAGGTTGGATGGACAGGTGCTAGAGAGGCCACGCTGCACTGGGCCGAGTGGGGTTAGCCAGACCTAGAGGCCAGGGTAGGAGGGACAGAAATGCCCGAGGGTGGGACCACATGAAGCTGGAGGCCCGTGTAGTGTCCTAACTGGAGGGGCAGCAAACCTAGGGCAATTAGGTCCTGGTGGCCATGAAAGCAGCTGTGCTCAGAGCCCCAGGCCCCAGCTGGGAGACTGTACTGCTGTGGGGATGTAGGAGGGAGGGGGCTGGCGCCCACTAGAGTCACTAGAAGCCCATCTCTCCAAAAGGACGAGGGGGCAGGAGGGCGGGACTACAGAGCAGCCCACCCAACCAAGGCTGGGTCTGAGATCCGGCAGATCAGCCAAGGCCAAGTGCAGACGGACAGTCTGGACAGGGGCCCCTGAGACTGGCCAGAGACCACGGATTCCACCTGCTCAGACAGGCTGGGCGGGGTCCCTTAGACTGGCCAGAGACCACATATTTCACCTGCTCGGACAGGCCAGGCGGGGTCCCTTAGACCGGCCAGAGACCACGGATTCCACCTGCTCACCTCTGCTACACGCCTCCTCCTGCACAAGTCCCTCGTGCCCTGTACTATATGCATCAGGGATACCAGGGTGGGGTATTTAGTGGTAAAGGGAAAAGAGACAGCTCTGGGTCCCAGGGCTCAGCCATGGGAGGTCCTTTCCAGCCCACCCTGAGCAGAAGCAGCAGGAAGTCGCCCAAAAAGTGGCACAGACAGGCCTGGAAGCTCTGTGGGCTGCCCTGGCCCAGCCTCTGCTCACTTTGAGCAGAGTCCCCTTGCACGTTGGTTCTTGGCGCGGAGCACCAGGGCCTCTGGGAAGACACAGAAGCAAGGTAAGGAGACCAGGGCAGAGCACGTGCCGAGGCAGGCATTTGGTTTTTAGTGCGGGAACTGAGCCCGACTGTTTGTGGGGACACGAACAGGAAACTGTCCCTGCCCTGCAGGGCTCACACACATGGGGAGACAGGAAAGACAGCCAGCCAGCCTGCGGCTCCCTCTGCCCTGTGCATGCCTGAAGGAGCTTTCCTGGCAGCCCCCACTCAGCAAGTCAGGGCTGCCTTTCCTGGGGAGCAGGCCTGCCACTGGCCCACGAGGCTGCTGCAGGGAATCTGACCGACCTCTGTGGCACTGTAGCCCGGACAGCATGGCCAGCTGCTGAAAGGAGTCTGAGCTCTCAGCCCCTCCCCTTCACTGGCTCCAGGCACCAGGAGCAGACCAGCCTCTCAGTGAGGAGATGGAGAGAGACCACTGCAGAAACCAGCGGGCATTCAGGAGAGACTTCAGGATACGGACCTGGCGTGGGGCTGGGGGTCCCAGGGGGCCCTCCCAGTGAGACACCTGTGCTCAGGGTGTGTGCACCTGGGCCTCCCACCAGCCTAAGGCCTCTCTCCTCAATAGAAGCAGAAGCAATCAACCACCAGCAGCAGATGTTTGAGGAAAGCCCTGTGCCTGAGACACAGAGGCCAGCAGAGGCAGAGACAGGAGGAAGTGTGTGGTGGAGGCACAGCTCCAGCAGCCCATGACAGAAAGAAAGAAACTCCCTCCAAAGAAAATGTAATCCTTTCTCTCTAAGATGATAGAAGATGTTACACCCATAAAACAAGAGCAGGATGCCAGGAATGAAGAGCAGAGGGCTCTTTGGCGATAATGAAAATGACAAGACCATGGGGCAGATAAGAAGATCAAGTAGAGAAAACCTCACGCAGAGAACAAAGTAGGGGAGGGAAGGTAAGGAATTAGGAGAAAACACCAGAGCTTAATACTCATTAGTGGGCATTCCAAAAAGAGAAAACAGAGCAGAAGAAATAATATGAAAATTCATGCAGCCCTGAAGACAAGAGTGACCGCATGGGGGGTTCCACCCAGTGCCCGGCTCAGTGAACGAACGTGGACCCTACAGAGGCACATCAGCACGACAGCCAGAGCTCCCAGCCTCCAGCAGGTGCCCCAGACCCTCAGTGGGGCCAGG